CGTCCTCTCCCCCATTATGACCACGTCCAAGTCTTCCTCCAGGGGGTGTATGAGCTTCTAATATTTCTTTTATACTATGGCCAATCCCAAAGTTTGTACGGTACATCTCGCCCCCTGTCGGCCCCAACCTCGGGCCCGCTCTGAGGGAAACCCCGGTGTCACCAGGGGTGGGTGTGGCCCCAGGGGGGGGGTACGAGGTGGGGTTAAAATGGGGTTTTGCAGGGTGCGCCCATGGAGTGCAGGCTCCTCAGTCCCCTTCAGGGGTGGGTGTGGCCCTGATTCAAAAGGCTTGCTGTTCACGCCCATTATTCCCTGGAGAGCTTCTCCCACTTGAGCAGGTTGTCTGCTTTTCCCCTCAGTCCCTTCCAGGAGTCAGTCCCATGACCTGGTTGGGGGACCGTGATTGGACCATACCGAGATGGGACAGAGTCCCGCCCAGCAGATGGGCAGAAGTGGTGAGACAACTCTTGTTCGGTAACAGGAATCTTACGGACTGCGACGGGAGGGTATAGCGCAGCTCTGACCCCCTCTGAAACAGCTGGGTCAAAACGGAGTGATTAGAATCCGGGACATATGGGACCAAGGTTCCAAGAGTTCGAAAAGGGATCAGCAGTCGAGAACCTGGAACCTGAAACACTGCCACAATATCAAAAGGAACCTGGGACAGCTCATCTTGTCCATTCCTTTGGACTGAGTGCACATCCTGAGCAGACGGCCGCTACTCCAGGAGAGAGATTGGGTAGCGATCCCCGGGAGAATGTGGGCAATGTGGTGGAAGTACGCACATACGAGTCCCTGGTCAGTCTGTTCCATATAAACCAAGATAACATGCTTACCAGGTACAGCCCGGAAGTGGCATGATGGTGGAAGAACGTAGACTTGCACAGCATCTGGGTGCTTCGGGACCGGGATGACTGGGTGACATTCCGCCCCGCTCTCGGAATTGCCCTTCGACCCAGAGGAGTGGCAGTGGACCCCCACATATAGGACAAGAACGGGCACAAGCACGAAACTGGCCACTCTGACGGTGAAAATTGCCTACGAACTCCTTAGGCCAGAGGCGAACCTTAAAGACAGGGTAAGGGCCCGGTGGATGTCCCACCTGAACGTGGGACAGGACGCCATCCAACCCATCCGCTGGTTCACAGTAACCAGAGCCAAACCTGCAAAAAATTCACATCATTACAATGGCAGATAGAACACCGCTGCCTGTCCACAAATGACTGGCTAATTGATCTCACATACTTGGAGCAGAAGGGACAAGCTCTGCCGTGGTGCAAGCTATGCCAGGCCGCCTTCCCCTCCCACAGAACCCAGAAACTACTGAACAAATATTTCTGCAATGCCCAGGGGCGGTCCTCACATGGACATTAAGTCAATTTCAAAAACAAATCTCTTACTATCTTCAAATTAATCTGAGAGAAAGAATATTACCATATTCATATTCCTTGTCAGAATTGAAAAAGTTTAAATTCAATTCTTCCTGATCTTAGTTGGATGCGCCATATTCTAAATAAAATGTGTCAGCTGACTCTGCCTTCTTCTTCTGATGTAAAATTTTCCACGCATGTTTATCGTTCTCAGAAAATACCACAACGTTTTTGTCTTTTGACTCTTTCCCGCAGCCGCAGAAAGTTGTCCTCCCTTCCTTGTAATCTTGTAAAAGTGGCAATAAACTTGCCTGCATAGGGACATTCCTCAAAAACATTTTGCAAGCGTTTGTCAGAAGATGCACATTCCCAGCTCCATAAAGGCTTCTATTGGGGCAGGATCATTCCAGGAAAGGCAAGGAACAGTAATCTAGAAGCTTACCTCTTCAGCAAGGGGTCTGGAGGCCAAGTGGTTGGCATTCCCTACGTAAAGCCGGCCTCCCAAAAACAGGATAGTAGTATACATTCAGGTCGGGAAGCAACCAGAGTGCACTATTGGCTACATTGCAAAGGTATCTTCACCGGCACTCACTGCATGAAGGGATGGGTGCAGAGGAGAGACTACTGTCTTCATCCCAATAGAACGCCCGGTCATTACAAACTTACTTGGCACAACTTCCAGTCCAGATGCAGTAATAATGACCAGGCTTTCTATTCGGATGAACAGGTTAGTGGTTGGCCTGGAAGGCCTTCAGATGAGTAGAGTACCATGGTGTTTAACTGTTTATGGTTTTGAGCGGCAATTCACGCCGGTGGTTTTCAACTGTTTATGGCTTTGAGCAGAAAAACATGGTTAACAGTCTGGCACGTGGTCAATCTAGGGAGGGAGAAGACGGTGTTGGGTACATACTTTTTTTTCCCTTTCGAGTTCAAAATCGTATATATCTGGTTGCATATGGATTTGAACTCGGGTGTGTATTTCAGCAGTTCATGTGTTTAGAAGCTGGATTTGTTGTAGAACTTCTCGGTGGTGATTTGAGACAAATGAACCACCATATACAAGGACTTCTTTATTAGATAAAAATATGTATTTACAATCTGTATTATTCTGTAATTTACATGGCTGTGCCGGCAACCGGCCGGTTGGACCGGCCCGGATCCAACCGGGCCGGTTGGACCCCCGGTGGTCCAACCGGAATTCCGGTTGGGTCCAAAAGTGGGTCAAAATTTTTTTATTTTTTATTTTTGAAAACATGGTTGGACTGCGCTCACCGAGATCTCCCCGAATCCGCAAAGAAAACTTTGAACAGAGAAGTTTCGTTTGGGGGGTTGGGGGGTTGGGGGGGGGGGTATTTCAGAGGTTGAGGGTCGGGCGTTGGGGGGTTTATTGTGAGGGTGTTAGTGGTGGAGTTTCAGCACGGGCTTCAGCAGACATTGACAACAACGTACCTGGCTTTCTGCAAACGTTGACGTTCTGCCCAAGAACTTTGAAGAGGGGGGTGGGGTTGTTGGTGGCAGGGTAGGGACGGTACTTCCCACCCAAAAACTTTGAAAAGGGGGGTAGGGGTTGTAGTGTTAGGGGGTGCTTCGTCCAAGTTGCCCTCGATACTGGTAGGGTGATGGTCCTGAGTGCTGGTCACACTGGGGTGTTAGTGGCAGGGTAGGGACGGTGCTTCCCACCCATAAACTTGGAAAAGAAGGGTGGGCCCGGTGGGGGTTATAGTGTTAGGGGGTGCTTGTCACTGCTGTCTGGTGACTGGCCTCGATACTGGTAGRGCGATGGTCCTGACACTGAGGTAGGATAGTAGGGATAGGGGGTGCGCTGGGAGCATTAACATGGGGAAGGGTAGGGAAGGTGGCCTATCCTGTCAGGACAACCACCGGGTGCCGCTGCCAGCAATCACTGTGGGTCTAGTCCTTGGCCTCAACAACATCATGGGCTCTAAAAAAAAAAAAAAAAAAAAAAAAAAAAAAGGATGCGCTACAGCCAACCGGGGGGGAACCGGCCCGGTCGACCGGCCGGTAGGACCGGTCCGGTTCCGGTTGGGGGAGGACCCCCTACCGGGTTTTTAGCACTGGTAATTTATTATTTTGAAGCGCCAGGGTGATTGTCTGATCATCTGTAAGGCCTTCAGGCCAGTCACCAGCCTGGAGTTTCACGAGAATGAGGACTGGCAAGAAGGGGCAACTGGTTTGCGCATTTGCAGTCTGGACTTCTATTGTGCGCTTTGCTGCAACTGAGGAGCATTTGCCTTTCTTGTGATTGATGTGAGTATGCACAGTATACACAGCGTGCCCTCAGGGTGATCGATGTAAGTCGATGTACACAGCGCGCGCAGTCAGGGTGATTGATGTAAGTACTCGATGTATACACAGCGCACGCTCAGGGTGATCGATGTGAGTCCTCGATGTGAGTTATGCACATGCCTCTACGGAGTCTATGAACTTGAAACCACCAGTACTTGGCCAGCTATTGATGCCCAGCCGGGATACCCCCTGCGCGCCAAGTTTTGCCGAGCCGTCGGGGCACCGTTTCGTTTTGATTTTGGCTGGCGCTTCCAGCCATTGCGGTTCGGTGCCCCGAAGCCCGCAACTACCGGGCATTAACGGGAATAGCCCGTGGACGATAGCTGGGCCAAGTACTGGTGGTTTAATTTGGTGGCCCGAAGCCCGCAACTACAGGCGCGTTAACGGGAATCGCCCGCGGACGATAGCCGGGCCAAGTACTGGTGGTTTAATTTGGTGGACGACATTCACGCTTGCAAGCAAGTTTCTTCTTCTTCTTTGCAGAGTCCTGCTGGATACAAATCTGGTCGGTGCTGATGTGACTGGGATCATAAGGTCAGCATATAGCAGCTCTCTGTAAAGTTTTGTGATACCTTTGAAGCCACAGTTCCTTCGAGTTTGTTCTGTATCCACAGTGCGCCCTCGTGAATCTCTGGATCAGCTGCCGCCTTATGACCAGCTCCATGTTTACCTCTCTTATGCTTCGACCTTTGCACTGAGAAAGGGATTGTCTTGAACACGTCAATCACTCGCAAATGTGATAGAGTCACATTGTGGCAATCAAGCAGCTTCAAGTACTCCAATTCACAAGCCATCAAAAACAAGACGGATTCACCCTTCTGTCCCAGCCGTGCTGTGCGCCCTACTCTGCAGAATAACACACACATGTCAGACAGGCACACACACACACGCACACGCATGCATGCACACACACACACACACACACACACACACACACACACACACACACACACACACACACACACACAGAGGATGTTAGTGGCCCCTCAAAACCTTTTTTTTTTGTTGTTGGCCCCTCTAAACCTGCTGGTTACCTTTCGTTCTTTTTGACTGGCAGTGATTTCTCCTGTGTTACATTCCATATAATCTTCTTCTTCTTCCTCTCAATCTTCGTCCTATTGACATTTGACCTGTTATTTCTGTGTCTGCTGTCTCCTCTTCCTACTCCTCATCCACCTCTTATTCCTTTCATTCCTCGTTACAATCCTTTTGCCCTTCTCCTCACGCACACTTACAGAGCCTGAGCATTCCTTCTTTTCTGCTGTCAGCCAGCTTTTACTTATCTAGTTTTACCACCTTACAAATATTGTGAAGAATCGAACCCCTAGACATTTGGTTGCCAACTGGGGCAGCAGAGAGCAACAAGTTGCAAGTTATGGGCTAAGATATAGGGTTGGGAGAACTTGGGACCAGGATCCAGTCACTCCAGTGCCTTTGCCAAATACAACTCCACGGTGGATGGTGCCAAGGGCGTCTGCACGAAGTTTTATAAAGTCAATCATCTTCGAGGAGTGAGTCTTACGAGGACTGTCAGGCAGGGCCAAACATCTCACTGTTCTCCTTGACAAAATGCCCTGGAATGTGACAGTCCTGAATGCTAGTTTCAGACCAGATAAACAGCTGAAAAGGTGGGTAACATCTAGTAGAAGACAATAAGATAGATGGCAAAGACATGCCCATGCAGCGCTTAAGTTTCGAACAGCTAACATGACATTGGTGTCTTCCCTCTCCTCCCTCACCCTCCATCCTCTCTTCTTTCCTTTCTTCTTCCCTCTCCTTCCCTGCACCCCTCCCTCCTGATTTACCTCCCTTTCCCATCACCTTCCCTCAATCTTCCTCCCTCCCTCCCTGTTTCTTCTTCCGCAGGCCCCTCACAGCTCCTCTTTCCCTGCAGCACTCTCCCCGTGTTTGTGGCCAACACTCGTAAACCCACTAACTTGAAGTCTTTGTTTCAATTTAATTGCAGGGTATACCATTCTCCCCTACCACCTTTCTTTTAGTATGCTATGCATCTTCCACACTGCGTTCTGCAGGTGGCCAACACTCAAGTAAACCCACTTACTTCAATTCTTTATTGAAGTTTATTCCAATTTACCAGTCTTCCCTACTCCTAGGTCACCCACCTTTCTCTTAGTATGCTGAAAGCACTATGTTAAACACAGCACTACCCAGATACTACTACCATGTACAGCAGTTGTCAGGGCACACAAGTGCAGGACAGGTTTTAATTGCATTCAAAAGAACGACTGGAAGACCACTTGCCTGTGCACATAATCAGATGCTTCGCCAGGTGGGTCATACTGTACAATGCTATTGAGGCACGGGAAGTCGAGGCCTCTTGCCGCCACATCTGTGCACAGTAACACACCCTCCTTGGTGTGAGAAAAGTCCAAGAAGGACTGTGCCCGATCCTTCTGGTTCATATTTCCATGCAGCTTGTATATGGAGCATGGTACAAATTTCTCTCCTTCTTCCTCCTGCGGCTTCTCCTCAGCATCTTTCTCTCTTCTTTCTACACCCTGTGGGAGCAGCCTGAAGGAGTGGATGAGAGTGTAATGGTATTCCACAGAACTGCACGTGGAGAAAAACACCACCATCTGCAACCACAATTCAACAAGGCGAGGACTTGAGGACAGGAAAGCAAGACATGCATGTAATGACCTGCCAAAACACAAACTGAGAACTCTGCTGAGTTTTGCCACAAGAATCTGCTGAGATTCAAAATCTGTGTGTGTGCGTGCAGCTGGTTCGTGTGCCTGTCTGAGTGCTTGTCGGCCTGAGTGTGTGTGTGGCCCGCCAGGGCACTTGTTTGTTTGGGAGGCCCGTGGGGCCGGTACTTACCTGTGGCCATGTGAGAGTTGCAGCGGGGTAAAACACTCAAGTAGTGTAGTGTCGACACCGTTAGCACTCAAGGAGCGGTAGGCCGAGCAGAAGAAGACAAAAAGTTAATGCTTTTAGAGGCCCAGTTGCAATAGGCCTACAGGTAGGCAGGTACCAGTCCAAGTAGCCTGAGTCTAGGGACTGTGCGAACGATATCAGAGCCTGCAATGATGTTTCCCTCCGAAAGGAGCAGGTACCGGTTGCTTGGGAAGCTGAGCGGCCAGGAAGTCACCGCCCAAGAGGCAAATGCCTCACTACATATTTGAGGAGAGCCAGAGGCTCATCCTCATTTGCGGTATGCAAGTTTGGGCGTCATGCTGCTTGAGCGGGTGCTGGTTCCTCAGGCTGGGCTGCTCGCTATAGCCAGGCAGAGCGCCCAGCTCCTCCCTCCTCCCAGCGCTGTACTGCCAGTGTTCCTCCCAGTGCTGTACTGCCCAGCGCTCCTCTCTCTCAGAACATTGCTGGAGTGAGAAGTGGTGGGCAGCACTGGGAGGAGGAAGAAGGAGCTGGGTGCTCTGCTGGCTACGGTGAAGAGCCCAGCCTGAGGAGGAGGAAGCAGGGGACGAAGGAGGAGAGTGGCGAGGTACTTACCTGGATATGGTGGGCACCATCTTCATCACCTTGTTAGGCGCTGCATCTGCAAGGCCCCAGTTGGGGTAGCGCCGCAACAAGAAGGCTTCAAGGCAGAGTCAGGCATGGCGGCCTGAGACAGAGCAGCCATAGCTGCTTTGAGTTGCCTTTTGCACATCAGGGCAAGACCCTAGCAGTCCACCATAGCCTCGGCCTTCCGGAAGAGGAAGGAGAAGGGTGGCCATGGCTATAGTGGACCTCATGTTGTACCTGCAGTAGAAGAGGGATTCGGACATTGATTCTGGTTCAGCCATTCAACACTATTATAATCATTTATTGTGAAATGAAATGGTATTCACCATTTAGCAGTAGCGAGTGCAGATCCCAGGGCTCGATCCCTAGTTCTTACTTTACCTGTGTACAGTATTTGTGCCGACCCCGAGAGTTGAACCCGTGACCTGTGTATTCACAGACTGTCGTAGGTCCATAGGTTGTAGGGGTTTGATCTGGAGACCTGTCGTTTGTAGGTCTTAGCAGGTTCTAGGAGCCGTAGCTGTAGCTCCTCCGAAGGGTCAAAGTCGTAGCTTCTATAGTCCTGAAAGATCAAGGTCGTAGCCGCTACGGTACTGAAAGGCCAATTCTACAAACTTCCGGAAGGTCTGGAAGCTTTCGGAGCTTGCTCACGTTTAGACAGGCAAGTGGGCAAGTGGCGAAGCCAACTGCAGTACGTCGGCAGTGCGACTGCGGGGAGTCGGCAATGCGTCCCCATGCAGTCAGCGGTATCAGTCCCAGTCAGTCAAGGTCCAGTCAAGCAAAAACCGTGTGGGACTGTGTGCACCCAGGGCATGGGAAAGGGGCAGACCAACAAGCTACAGAAGTATAAATCAAGAGGCAGTGACCAGTCATTCATTCATTCCTGCATAAGCCATGCGGAAGCGCTGCCACAGCGACTTGTGCGAGGTGGTCTGCAGTATGCCCGAAGACGAAGTGGGCCGAAGGAGAGCTTAGCCATAGTGGTAGAGGTAGTAGCGGCCATAGCCGCCATAGCTGGGAGAAGAGTGCAGCATGTGTGCGCGTGTGTGTACAGTGAGTTGCGTGTGGGATATCCAGGGTGATCCTGTGTGTGAACAGCAGAGTTGGGCTAGTGACAAACAGAGAGTTGTGCAGGCGCTGATGCACCATAGCCATCTGAAGAGAGCTTGTATCTGAACTGCATTCTTGGTTGCCATATCTCTGAGCTTTGAGTGGGCGCTTGTCGCCAGTTTCGTGTGCTACCTGTTTACATGCATGCGGAGTGGAAAAGAGAGTGAGTCTGATTGCAGAAATAAAGAGGGGAGGAGAAAAGGAGGAGGAGAGTGATTGGCGAGGAGAAGGGAATTATCATTGGTCTTTGCTGGTGTCCATCTTCTTCTTCTTCTTTCCTTTTTCTTCTTGTTCTTCTTTCCCTCTCTCTCCTCTCAAGTTCATTCATTTCTTTCGCAATTGGACGGCATTGTGCTTTCTCATCAATTTGTACTTCCCAATTGGCCAGGATCTTAAGACCAACAGATCAAAGAAAATGCAAACCATTTTAAAAAGTGTGTTCTGTAAATATTCACCACGACAACCTCTTCGCTTTCCATACTTTGGCTTTTTCTGTGGTTGCTCTTTTATTTCTTTCTGCAGGTCCCCTTTTACAGTGCCTCTCACATACAAGGCTTGCCACATTGATGTGGTCGAGCATGAGCTGCCCACATCCCTGTGTGCCGTAACGGCCCACTTGCGCGCTATGAAAGGAGGCAGAGTAAAGGGGGATGGGAATATTTTGTCTGTTCTCTTTGTGATGCTCATTCATGTGCATTTACTAGTTCTGCACGAGAGGAGGGAGGAGAGGGAAAGGGAAGGGGAGCAAGATGGGGGGAAGAAACAGAAGTTTGTGCGAGTGATGTCAATGCTAGCCCATCAACCACCTTCATTCCATCATGAAAACAAAGAATGTTATGACTTGCAAAACTTATAATACAATACGAAGCCCAAGGTCCCCCATGTCGGCGTGGTTGATCAGAGAGTGTGCCCATCTGCGCGATTGCCCAGACAGTGCCCACACATCCATCCGCTTGAACTCTCACAGTAAATGCAAATTAGTGGACACCCCCTCATAATTACCAGACAACCCGTCATCAAAGACCAGTCCGTCACTATCCTGAGAGCACAAGCGTAAGGCACCGACATTCTCCATCACCACCAATCCATTTTCCTATCTAGCCCACGAAAAGAGCAACAAACACACTCATTCCACACAACTACATACAAGGGGATCAAAATACAGGCCACACCAACCACCCATAAGCATATATGACCCATGCATCCTCGCCTCCTCAGCCAACAGGCCTCGCTCCACTACTCTCCACATCCACAAAAGACAAAAAAGATGGCAGTGTATCTTCCATGTTCCAGCGGAAGATTCACTCTCATTTTTCATATTTGTTGAGTAGTGGAGCGCGTCCCAATACCATGAGCGCCAAAGTTACATCCCATTGGAGTTTCAACCGCAGCACACACTCTAAAAACCTGTCCAAAGATGCAGCACAATTAACGGGAGGAACATGTATCCGCGGCACAGGGCCGCAACATGGGACCCTCATGAAACATCAGGAGTTTTATTGCCTAAATCACCCAGGACCACAACCATATCCTCTGGGAAAACGTCCCGATGGGAATGTCACCAACAGAGCAAACTGTCTGAATGCACTCGCACAATATGCCACACCCCGGTACCATCCTCTCCCAGACCAAACTCAAGAACTCAGCTTCACAATCAGTAAGCAAAACGGAAACATGACCCATCCACACTAAAGGAGACCAGACCACCAGCAAAGGCTACAAGCAAAAGCCGAAACCACAGCACATTCTAACTGGACAAAAGAATTGCCTGTCAGTACAAACCTGCTCAATGTTTGTGTGTGCGAATGTTTGTGTGTGCGAATGTTTGTGTGTACGAATGTTTGTGTGCGCGAATGACAGATGGGACCTCTGCTCTGCTCACAAAAAGAGAGAGAGAGAGAAAGAGAGAGAGAGAGAGAGAGAGAGAGAGAGAGAGAGAGAGAGAGAGAGAGAGAGAGA